GTGATGATGCTCTGGATATTGGCCTTGGGGATGGCCTCCACGTGGGTGCTGGGCATAGTGGGGTGGTTAATAATCTTGATCCCAACCGGAAACTTGCAAGAGGTGGGCTCTGCACCTCATGGGAGGCCTGTGCTTCCCCGGGCTCTTGTCAGGCAGGGGGGCGTGTAGGCGCCTCCTCTGGCGTGTCACCTGGGGCGTTTTGACAGGTAAGGGCAGCCTCCGACTTTTGAGAATCAGTGGCCGATGGGGGCTGGTTCTCATTACGAATCTGTTTTCACTCCCCGTTGAGAATCACAAGAATGGACCCTCCTGACTGCAGTCGCTGTAGCCGCTGGGCTGTGGCTCCTGGGCGGCTCTGGGCTCTCCCCTCCAACCCGGGGCCAAGCCAGGGCACTGGGCAGGGACTGGAGCCAGGCCCGCTGGATTCCGGCAGGAGGGAGGGGTGGGGTCGGGCTCTGGAACTTTTCTCTCTCTCATCTTTGATATTTCTATCTCTCTACCCCTCTCCCTTCCTCTCTGAAATCGATAAGAATATATTTTTTTAAAAAAATAAATAAAAAACGCCGAAACCGGTTTGGCTCAGTGGTAGAGCATCCATCTGCGGACTGAAAGGTCCCGGGTTCGATTCCGGTCAAGGGCATGTACCTTGGTTGTGGGCACATCCCCAGTAGGGGGTGTGCAAGAGGCAGCTGGTCGATGTTTCTCTCGCATCAATGTTTCTAGCTCTCTATCTCTCTCCCTTTCTCTCTATAAAAAATCAATAAAATATATTAATAAATAAATAAATAAATAAATAAAAACCGTTCTTGCCTCCTCCCACGACCGCATCAAAATTACAACTAAATTCACAGAACAATCACCCGGGAGAACCATCTGGAAAGTAGCTGAACAGAACGTCTATAACTAAAGATAGACCTGAAACTGGCCGGTCTCACACCCAGGTATGTTGGTTAAGACTCCAGAAAGATATATTGGCTGCAGAGGTACCCCAAAGAGCGAGGGGTCCCAAAGGCATTGAAGGCAACGTCTCCCATGTTGCACATGGCCTTGGCCTTGCCCGGCCCCGGGGTGAGGTAGCCTTGACCCCACACCCTCACTCCCTTGCTTCTTCCCGCCACCAAATCTTCACCCAGGGAGGCGAGTTCACTCATCTGGGGTCTCACAGCCAGGAAGGAGTGAAATAATTTGAGAAGAGAGATGTATTTTTCCCTCTTCCTTATTTTTTTTATTTTTTATTTATTTATTTTGAAAAGCATCATGTCACCAAGCCAAAGGTCGTGACTCCTTTGACTAAACTCAATCTCAATCCTTAGGGATGTACTGGGACCCCACGTGGCTTCCTGGTGATTGGAGGTGATCTGAGAAGATGCAGTTCACAAGTTGGCCACGCGGTGACACTGTTCGAAAAGAATTCCCTGTGTGACCAGGTTCAGGCAGTAAGTGAAGTTCCCGCTGAATTTTCTTAGCCTGAAGGTGTGAATTCGGTGAGTCAAATAGGATCAATTGTAGAACGTTCTCTTTCTCCTCCATACGCACAAGGTAAATTAAAAATGATGGTGGCTGTTTCTAAGGCTCTCTTCTCCTTCCTGAACTCGGGGTTTGATACAAATAAAATTTTATATGTTTCAGCGATTTGAATGAATTTTTTCAGGATAGGTAGGAGCATTTAAAGGCCGTCCAGCGAATGTGGCTCAGAGGTTGAGTGTTGACCTACGAACCAGGAGGTCATGCTTATGGTTCCATTCCAGGTCAGGGCCCATGCCTGGGTGTCAGGCCCAATCTCCTGCAGAGTGAGGCATGCAGAAGGCAGCCGATCACTGATTCTCTCTCATCATTCATGTTTCTATCTCTCTCCCCCTCTCCCTTCCTCTCTGAAATCAATAAAAATATTTTTTTAAAATATATTTTATTGATTTTTCACAGAGAGGAAGAGAGAGAGATAGAGAGTTAGAAACATCGATGAGAGAGAATCATCGATCAGCTGCCTCTTGCACACCCTCCACCGGGGATGTGCCCGCAACCAAGGTACATGCCCTTGCCCGGAATCGAACCCAGGACCTTTCAGTCCGCAGGCCGACACTCTATCCACTGAGCCAAACCGGTCCCGGCAATAAAAATATTTTTAATAGATTACACGTTCCCTGGAAGTGAAATATCAGAATGGAATTCTAAAAATGTTAACTGGCTGAGGTATGCTTGAACAAAGCCGGAAAAAGTGGCCAGACTCCCATGGCTCTCACAGTCTTGCCACAGTAAAATATTAGTAAGTGGCCGGTGGGGCTCAATTGGTTGGGCGTCATTTCATGCACCAAAAGGTTGCTGGTTCGATTCCCGGTCAGGGCAGATGCCTGGGTTTTGGACTTGATCCCCAATAGGAGATGTACAAGACGCAGCTGGTGGGTGTTCCATTCTCACATAGATGTTTCTCTCTCCCTCTCCCCTCCTCTCTAAAAATCAATTAAAATGTATTTTATTTCTTTCTTTTTTATATATATATTTTATTGATTTTGTACAGAGAGGAAGGGAGAGAGATAGAGAGTTAGAAACATCGATGAGAGTCATCGATCAGCTGCCTCTTGCACACCCCCTACTGGGGATATGCCTGCAACCAAGGTACATGCCCTTGACCGGAATCGAACCCAGGACCTTTCAGTCCCCAAGCCAAAGCTCTATCCATTGAGCCAAACCGGTTTCGGCTTAAAATATATTTTATATATAATTGATTTTAATTGAAATTAATACTGATTTTTAATATATATTTTAATTGTTTTATATATACCTGTGAGACTTCCAGTTCAGAATATCAACGTGGTAGCTGGTGTCACCTGAGTGTTGGGTGGTAGGAATGGATCTGGTGTTTGCTGGTGGGGTCAGATCGGACCTGGATTCAGCAGCCTCAGTACCTGAGCTCTGTCTGGGAACGAATTCAGAGCTGATTCGCAAACTATTAGAGGACATTTATTTGGAAAATCACAGAGGTAGAAGAACTAATTCATAGAAGAAATTGGCTCAGCCCTAGCCGACGTGGCTCAGTGGATAGAGCATCGGCCTGCAGACTGAAGGGTCCCAGGTTCAATTCCCGCCAAGGGCACATGCCCGGGTTGCGGGCTTGATCCCCAGTAGGGGGCGTGCAGGAGGCAGCCCATCAATGATTCTCTCATCATTGATGTTTCTATCTCTCCTCCCTTCCTCTCTGAAATCAATAAATATATTTTAAAAAATAAAAATAAAAAGAAATGGGCTCAGGAAACCAGTCATAAAGGTGAAGGGCCCTTGGAGCTTGGGAGGAGGGAGGTAAGAGTAAGGCCCCTGGCGGGATGCGGGGGGGGGGGGGGGGGGGACGTGAGGGTGTGCTCACAGGAAGGAGCACCCCCTGGGTCCTAAGGGTTTTAGGGTGGATATTTGGGGGAGGTCCCAGGGAAGATCTCAATAGATCACTGAGCGGCTTTCCAGGTGTGTCCTCTCAGGGATGAGGTCTCCACTGATTGGTCGGCCCAGGGCAGGGCCATCATGCAATGCAGCTGGCCGAGGGCAGCCGGGGCTGTGGCTGAAAGGCAGCCAAGGCCTGGATGTTGTCTCCAGGGAGGAAAGGCGGGCAGTCCAAACCGCATGACCAGCATTGTGCTAGGGGAGGACAGGTCACTCTGGGATGAGGTCCCACCCACAATTGTCCGTTGCTAGGCACCCAGGACTTTCCACCCTGGCCCATCATCCTTGCTCTGCTCTTGACTGACTGCCTACCACACAGCACCCCACCTCAGAGCACCCCATCCTCAGAGCACCCTGTCCTCAGCATGACCGCCCCAGCAGCTGCCCCAGGACCGTGATGCAACGCGATGGCTGATGTCGCAGGTCTCCAAGATGCATCCGTGGACCACACCCCCTGTTGAGGGGACAGTCAAACCCAAGCAAGGCCTAACCTAGCCGTCAAGGTCCAAAGCCTCTCCCAGGACCCAGGTCCCTGGACTTTGGATTCAACCACGTGACTTGCAGGTGGAAGGCTGTTGTGCATCTATCAACTCGGGAACACGCCCAACCACGCCCGGTGGCCCAGGATTCTCCCAGCGCCTCCTGCCACGTTCTGTTCACGGAATCGCCACCCCGCTCTCCCTGGGAGCCATCATTATGCGGCTCCCCCACCCCCACCCCCACCCCCACCCCCCGAATTCACATAGTGAAGCCCAAACTGCTGAGAACTGTGGAGATGAGTCTTTAAAGAGGCTGGAAAAGTGGTCCTTCTCCAATCCTATGGTCTTGGGAAGGAAGTTTGGACACACGGTCCACAGGCAGAGATCACGTGAGGACACGGTGAGGTGCCCGTCTGCAGGACAGAGGCCTAAGCCTTCCAGCTCCGGACGGTGAGGAAGGAAGTTGCTGCTGCTGCCTGGTCTGGTTGGTATGTTGCCATGGAAACCCTGGCAAACACACACTAGAGTCCAAGACTTTGGTCACTGGCAGGACTTATTTGGAGAGAACCTGCGAGTCAGTGGCATTTGAATTCCTGTCCCGGATGCTGCCTAAGCTCAGAGCTGCTCTGAGGTGCGTACTAATGAGCAAGGCCTGGATCCTGAGCCCTGGATACTGGGGCTACTTCCTGGGGGGGGGGTCCCCGGAGTAAACAGGACACAGGCACGTCTGCCAACTCATTCAGTATTTATTGAGCTGGGAACATTGCAAACTGGCTGAAACTGGATCGCCCTCTTGGCTCCTCAGGGGGAAAGAAAGCTGGAGCTGGACCGGCCTGAACACCAGAGACAGGCAGACCAGGGAGTGCAGGCAGGGGGAGGGCGAAAGTGGGGTCTGGGCCAGTGTGCAACCAGAGGGGGGACAGGGAGACCGGGGAGTGCAGGCAGGGGGAGGGCGAAAGTGGGGTCTGGGCCAGTGTGCATCGGTAGATTCCTGGAAACATACACGTGCGTACATACACACGTACATACATACGTATGCGTGCACACACACGGGCACGCACATACACACATACACACATACACACACACACACACACACACACACACTCACATTCACACAGGTGAAGACCAGGGGCTGTCAGCCCGGCAGCTGCAGGACATCAGGAAGAGACCGGCGTCTGGAGACATTTCAGTCCATCCGTCATGAAGCGTCTGCCGGGAGGGGCTGGGCCAAGGTCACGGGGCTGTGAGAGAAGAGGTGGGGGTCAGCTGGCAGGGAGAGAGGCCGGGCTGGGACCCATAACAAGGGAAGAGCGATGAGGAGACGGAGAAAATCCGGCACAGAGAGTGGGCCGGCCATGAGGGAACGTTCTAAGCCTCAGGCAAGGCTGGCCCAGACTCCCTTCCCATTGGTCTCCTGAGGATCGCTCTCAGGAGGCGAGCCGAGGGCCCGCTGGGCCCCAGCAGACAGAAAGCCCCTCACACTCCTCCCGCATCGCCCCCTTAAGGCAGTTTGCAGAGGAAACAGCACAACTGGGACTGGTTTCATTGACCCCGCCCCCACCCAGCCCACTGCCTCAGCCCTCCTCAGTCACCGCCTGATCAGGTGGGGCCCACCCTGCCCAGGACAGCTCACGGAGTCCTTCTAGCAAATGGCCAAGCCCGAGGCTGGTCTGGGTCCCCTTGCTCTCACAGACCATGCAAATGAGAACCACTCTCTCCCGCTCCCCTTTCTTCATGTCAATCCCACTGCTATTCTGTGGCTGATCTGGCCCCCGACAGACTTCTCTGGGACCCGAGGGAACCCAGCTGACATAGCCACCGCCTTTGTTTGTTTTGTTTTGTTTTTTTGTTTGTTTTTTAATATGGAACGCTTCATGAATTTTCGTGTCATCCTTGCGCAGGGGCCATGCTAATCTTCTCTGTATCGTTCCAATTTTAGTGTATGCGCTGCCGAAGCGAGCATCACCCACCGCCTTTGAGTCACTGACCGCTTGGAAGTGACAAATAGTGTGATTACACAACGGGAGTCATTACATGTTCCAGCCCCACATGGCGGCACCCGTCCCACCCTCCTGCCGGCAACAGCCCACGCCCACTCCGCTCCTGCAGCTGTGAACGGCCCAGCTCCTGGCTGTTTTTTAATGAGGGCCGGTTCCCTTCATTTCAGAGCCACGCAGGGCGCGACCTTTGCACTTTGGCATCGCACTAACTGAAACGTCCATGTCCACTCCGCTCTGGTGACCTCACTGCCCCAGCAGAGCTGAAGCACCTGGCACAGGCCCTGAGCCCACAGGGCACGGGGGCAGGGGACTCAGCACTGGGGGGTGGGGGAGCCTGGCACCCCCATTTGGAAGGCGGCAGAAATGCGTCCGGACGGGGCTGTCCTAGAGGAGGTGGGGGTTGGGCTGGGCTGGAACTCAGGCTCAGAGGTACTGAAGGCAGTGGCAGGGCCTGAGAACACGTGGAAATGGCCGTGGCCGGGAGCGTGCGGGGTGGGGCAGCACCAGGGTGGGGGCCCCTTAGGAACCGGAGTCGCTCTGGGTGTGGGAGGCCCTCACCTCCGCCCTCGGGACACACGGCCTGGGCCAGGGCGGCCTTGATGGCGGCCACCAGCTTCAGGAACTTGCTCTCCGTGTCCACGTAGCCGTCGCCGCCCTGGGGGGGAGGGGGGGGTGAGCCGGGACCAGGACGCCAAGCCCACCCCCGCCCCCAGCCCAAAACGAGGCGGGACGGCCAGACAGACAGACATACCTTCTTAGAGTGAACCAGCTTCCCCGCTACCATGACTTCAAAGAACCCGGTGACCTGGGGCGTCCCCTCGCCGCACTGGGGGGAGATGCGGGAGGGCTGAGACCCCCTTGGGGACACCGCACCCGCCCAGGGGTGACGGACAGGGTGAAGGCTGGGCTGAGGTCCCTCCCCTCCCCTCCCCCGGACTCACGATGTCCAGGCGTCCGGGGAACTCATCCTCCAGCTTCTGCTTGAGCTGAAGATACTGTGGGGGGAGGGGTCACAAGAGGGGTTACGGGGGCCACTCCCCCGGCCCCCCCCCCAGCCCCCCATCAGCCACTGGCTCACCTTGGGCTTGTAGCCTCAGGCTCCACTGGGGGACAGTCCGGTTCCGCAGAGAAGACAGGAATCGGGGAGAGGCAGGGGTGGGGAGATGGAGGGAAACACACACCAAAAGAGACACAAAGACACACAGAAGGTTGGGGAGCGGCACAGAGAGGGGGTGGCAGGGACACACACACAAAGAAACCCAGAGCCAGGGAGACAGAGAGAGACAGAGACAGAGAGAGAGAGAGAGAGAGAGAGAGAGACACACACACACACACACACACACACACACACACACACACAGAGGCGCAGGAAAAGGGCAGGAGGAAGGGAAGGGCGGGAGGGAATAGGGGAGAGCTGGGTTAGGATGAGAATTGCAGACACAGCCCCGCAGCCCCCCAGCCCACCCCACCCCACACACCGACCCTGTCCCCCCCTCCCCCCCAGGCCTCCAGCTCTGTGAAACCTGAGCCTGCTGCTGCCGCGGCTATTTCAGGCCCAGGGCCTGTGCTGCCCTCTCTCCGTTTCCCAGAACAAAGCTCCGTTAGAGCATTTCTCACACTGAGACCTGATCCTCTCTAACTCCGGCTTCCCGGGCCGTGTTGGCAAGTGGTTAGAACATCGGCCCGTGCACAGAAGGGTCCCGGGTTCGATTCCCTGTCGAGGGCAATTCCGGCTCAAGGGCACACACCTGGTTCTATCCTGGCCCTGGGGGGAGAGGAGGAGGGGGTGCGGGAGGCAAACAACTGAGGTGTCTTTCTCACATCCCTTTTTCTCTCTGCCCCTCCCTCCCTCCCTCCACTCTCTCTAAAAATCAATGGGGAAAAAATCTCTGCGTGAGGATTAACCACACACACATAAAAAAAAATAATAATAATAATAATAATAATAATAATACACGCGGGCTGTCCTGGCGGGCAGATCTGGGACAGGCCAGCCAGCGGACCCAGGTGCCCGTTACCCCTGGGACCTGCAGTCCGGACCTCAAGTTACCGACCTCCCCCCCACCCCCAGCCTCAGTTTCCTCTCCTGTAAAACGGAGCTGAGGTCCCACCCTGCAGAGGTTTGGGGGCGGGGAAGTTCACAGCTGGTGCATTTACTTCGTGCCACGGGGCGGGGGCCTGTGGGTGCCGGATGCCTATGGGTGCCTGTGGGTGCCGGATGCCTATGGGTGCCTGTGGGTGCTGGATGCCTATGGGTGCCTGTGGGTGCCAGGTGCCTGCCCCTCCAGCGGGGACCTGGACAGACACCCACACGGGGCTCCTCCCCGGGGGCCTAGTGCGATCATCTCTCCCCCTCTGCGGGGGGAAACTGAGGCCAGAAAAGGCCCACCCGTCGTATGCACTCCTTTCCAAACCTACGCGGCACCTTCTCGAACCTTCTCAACCCTCCGCCCCCACCCCAAGGTGCCGGGCGAGGGGACACCTGAGCTCTGACTCCACCGCCCCCCAAACTGACCCCCGAGTCCGAGGTTCCCGATGGCCGCGCCTGGGGCAGCCTCTGCAGCAGGAGCCGCGCGGACGGTCACAGCCCGAGGGGGACCAGGCCCCGGCCCCACCCCCACCCCCACCCCCACCCCCACCCCCACGTCCCCTACCCCCACCCTCATCCCCGCCCCCACCCACGCGCGCACCCCGCCCGCGCGGGCCCGGCCTGGGGGAGGCCGCGATCCCGCGCCCAGCTCCTCTGGGCGGAGGCGGGACCGGGGGACCGGGGGGACCGGGGACCGGGGGACCGGGGGAGCGGGGGGACCGGGGACAGGGGGGACCGGGGGACCGGGGGACCGGGGGGGATCGGGGGACCGGGGGGACCGGGGGACCGGGGGGACCGGGGAGCGGGGGGACCGGGGACAGGGGGGACCGGGGGACCGGGGGGACCGGAAGGTCGGGGGACCGGGGGGCCCGCCGGGCCGGGCGCGCTCACCAGTACACCACCCTGACGGCCAGCGCCGCCGCCCGGGAGCGCTGCATCGCGGCGCCGCCTCCTCGGGGCGCGGACTCGGATGTGCGCCGGGGAGGACCGCGCCGCCCGGACCTGCCTCCCCGCCCGGCGCGAACCAACGCGGCGGGGGGGGCGCGGGGCGGGGAGACAGGCCCGAAGCCGGGGAGAGGCCCCCCGCCCGCCGCCCTGAGCCCCTCGCTGAGGCCTCCCTCGCACACAACCCCCTGATGGGCCAGGGAGCGTCCGGCACGGGGGTCCCCGGGAGGAGCCCTGGGCCGCCCTCCGGGTCCCCCCCGGCGTCGGAGTGGTTCGTCCCGGGGCGGGGCTCAGCGGCAACCGCTCCAGCTGCTGTGGAGGGAGCGGCTGGGAAGCGGGCGGACTCACCCCTGCGCTGGGCTGGGAGGTGTTGGCTGTTCGTTTTTATATTTTTTAAATTTAAAAAAAATATATTTACAGAGAGGAAGGGAGAGGGATAGAGAGTTAGAAGCATCGATGAGAGAGAAACATCGACCAGCTGCCTCCTGCACACTTCCTACCGGGGATGTGCCCCCAACAAGGGTACATGCCCTTAACGGAATCGAACCTGCAACCCTTCAGTCCACAGGCCGATGCTCTATCCACTGAGCCAAACCGATTTCGGCTGACTGTTTTTATTTATTTATTTATTTATTTATTTATTTATTTATTTATTTATTTTGTATATATGTTTTATTTTTTTCACACAGAATTTATTTATCTATTTATTATATTTTATTGATTTTTTACAGAGAGGAAGAGAGAGGGATAGAGAGTTAGAAACATCGGTGAGAAAGAATCATCCATCAGCTGCCTCTTGCACACCTCCTACTGGGGATGTACCCGCAATGACCGGAATCAAACCTGGGACCTTTCAGACCGCCAGACCTATCCACTGAGCCAAACCGGTTAGGGCTGGCTGTTCGTCTTTAATTTTTATTCACTGGTCTGAGGGAGCGAGCGAGGAAACATCGCTTTGTCCCGCTTGTGAATGCACCCACTGGTTGATGCTTGTGTGTGCCCTGACCTGGTATCGAACCCATGACCTTGGCATGTGTGGATGACCTCTAACCCACTGAGCCGTTGGGAGGGTGGACTCTTCGGCCCCTCTCTTCCCAGGAGCGGGCGGGAGGCACACAGGGGGCCCCCGGGGAAACCGAGGTCCCTTTAGCCGGCCAGCCCCCCCCCCCCCCCGTCCGGGGTGACACCTGGTCCGCATGGCACCCCCTCTTCCTGTGCCTCCAGCTCCCAGATGAGGGGCTCCTGGGGAGTGCCGGCAGCTGAATGAAGGGGTTCATGGGGGAGAGGGGTGCCGCTCTCTGAGCCTCAGTTTCCCCACCTGGAAGAGGGGCGTGACTGCCTCCAGGGCCTGTACAGCCGACCTACCTGCAGGCCCAGTTCTGGGGATACAGAGCTGACAAAGCAGACGCCGTCCCGGCCCTGGGAGCAGCCTGGCCGGAGGCGACCAGGAGAGAGGAAGCCTGAAAGTGGCCCTTCTCTCCCGGGGTTGACGCGCGTCCAATGAGCTCAGAGACGCGGGAAGAACTGGAACCGTGTCGGGCGCCTGGGGAGGTTAGAGTGGGAATTTCTGAGCTTGCTTCCTGCTAGTACCGCTCCATTGCGGAGCAGCCGAGGACGTGCCCCAGACAGGGTTGCCGGTGCTGACACTGGGCCAGGCCTTGAGAGGCAGGACAGGGTTAACTCCTGACTCCACTTTGTACTGTGGGGCAGGGCAGGGCCAACTCCTGACTCCATTTTGCACTGTGTCCTCCATTTTGTATAACCATGTCACTGTGTAACTGGACCCTAGCCCTCACCCAACCAATGGGGGTCAGCCAAAGCAGTGACCTCCCCACCCATCCACCAGACCCTTATAAATCCTTTGTTCTGTAGAAGCCCGCGCTCTCTCTCTCTCTCCCTCACTGCTGCGTCGGTGTACGTGGGACTGAGCTCGGGCTAGCTCGAAATAAAAAGGCTCTTTTGCTTTTGCATCGGACTCGGCTCCCTGGTGGTCTTTGGGGATCACAAAATCTGGGCATAACAGCACCTCACCCAATAGCCTTGCGAGACAGAACACTGTCAGCTTTCTGGAGAACAAGATAACCCTGTAAGCACCAGGATCGTCCATAGCAGGACCCTGAAGTGACTTGGGGAAAAAACTGTTTTGTCTTGGGTTGCTTACTCTGCAAAAACAGGATGTGGTAAATGCGCGTAAAAAGTGGTTCTGTATTGGGGCTGCTCTCTGACCGCCCTGTCTGGAGGCAGAACAGCCGAAGGCTCCCTGAGTTTTAATTTGGTTTGGACTCCAGTGGTCTTTACTCGAGTTTGCTCCACAACAGGGACGCCTGCCTGCCCCATGCCTCCCCCCTTTTCCACCTGCGCCTCTGAGGCCTCACCTGCTCTGACCCTCAGCTCCCAGGGCAGGTGGCAGCCCCGTTTCCAGTGCTGTGTGACCTCTGACCCTGGTGGTCTTGGAAAAAGGTGACGGGCCTGCGGGCTGCCCTGTGTGTTCTGGGTAACGCCTCTTTCCGTGGCTTCTGGGGCCTCCCCTCAGAGCAAAACCCCAAATACAAAACCTGGCGGCTTTGGTCCCTTCTTGCTCCTCCTCTCAGAGCCCAAGCTACACAGAAACCCTGTGTTCTCACCCCCAGGGACCTCGTGTGGGATGATCCCCTTTCACGTCCCTCGTGGTTCAGGGTCCCGGTTCAGGGTCCGGGTTCTGGAGAAGGGCCGCACACAAAAGAAAAGAGACGAGAAGAAATTTAATTTGGCGATACGGGGGGCCAGGCGGTAGTCCAACTCTAGTGGGAGAACTACCCACGGCTCTGGCCCTGCCATCCCTTTTATTGAGGCTTTGAGGAAAATACCCATAGTGCTTAGGCAGGAAATAACAGAAACTTACACGGGACAAACAGAGGTGGAGGCTGCTTCGGCTCACAATGTCTCCACGGAAGGGCGAGGGGTGAGAGCAGTGTTGTTGTTGACAGCCTTCCTGGCTTCCGGTCCGCATCTCTCTGTCAGTGAGACAGCGATCGGTTTCGGCATCCTCGCCCACTTTGCTGCCTCCGGGCCTCTGCACACGCTGTCCCTACCCTCTCCCGTTTGATTCTCGCTCATCCCCCAGGTCATCAGCTCCGCCATATTGTAGGGAAAACGTTGTCTTCAGCCCTAGCTGGTTTGGCTCAGCGGATAGAGCATCGGCCCGCGGACTGAAGGGTCCCAGGTTCGATTCCGGTCAAGGGCATGTACCTTGGTTGCGGGCACATCCCCAGTAGGGAGTGTGCAGAGGGCAGCTGATGGATGTTTTTCTCTCATCGATGTTTCTAACTCTCTATCCCTCTCCCTTCCTCTCTGAAAAAAAAAAATCAATAAAATATATATATTATTTTTTAAATGTTGTCTTTGGAGGGGAACTATGCCTTGTCTACACCGAGTGGCCGGATTACTATGACCGCCCCATCAGTACTCCGTTGGACCACCTTTTGCCTCCAGTACTGCGGCGATTTTTCTTGGCATTGACTCCACGAGATGCTGAAAGGTGATGCGAGGAATCTGACCCCATGCCTGGTGGATAGCACTGTCCAGTTCTGGGAGATTGGATGGTTGTGGAACCAGCTGCCTGATGGCTCTTTTAACTTCGTCCCACAAATGCTCAGTTGGATGGAGATCTGGTGATTATGGGGGCCACCTAAGCAAGGCAAAGTCTCCCTCCTGTTCTTGAAACCACTCTGCACAATATGAGCACCGTGGCATGGCACAATCAATGTCTTGTTGGAAGAAGCCATCTCCATTGGGATACGCCATCAACATGACAGGATGAACTTGATCAGCGACGATACTTAGGTATGCTGTGCTATTCAGACGTCATTCCACACGAGTTAAAGGGCCCACATCATGCCAGGAGAACATGCCCCAAACCATAACACCACCCCCACCAGCTGAAGGGTTGTGCTCATGCATGTGGGGTGCGTGTTTTCATGCTGTTTCTGCAAAATTCTCACTCTGCCTTCTGCATGATGCAACTGGAAACGTGATTCATCGGACCACATGACTTTTTCCCAATGCTCAACTGTCCAATCCTTGTGTTCCTGTGCGAACTTGAGACGTTTTATCTTGGTAACTGCAGGCAGCAAAGGTGTTCGAACACGCCTTTGGCTTCCATATCCCATACAATGTTGTGTACGGCTCATTTGCCTACAAACCTCAGGTGGTCATAATAATCTGGCCTCTCCATGTGTAGCATGTCTGTATCTTTGCCAGGGCTGTGTTCACAAAATGCTATAAACTGAGTGGCCTAGCCCTAGCTGGTTTGGCATAATGGATAGATTCCAGCCAAGGGCACATGCCTGGGTTGTGGGTTCAATCCCCAGTAGGGGGCATGCAGGAGGCAGCCCATCAATGATTCTCTCTCATCATTGGTGTTTCTTCTCTCTTCTCTCTCTCTTCCTCTCTAAAATCAATAAAATATATTAAAAGAAAAGAAAAGAAAAATCCTCACCTGAGGATATTTTTCTTTTTAATGAAAATAAAAATAAATAAACCGAGTGGCCTAAACCACCAAAATTTATGAAAGAAAGAAACGTTTGCTGGAGCATGCTTCCTTTTTTATTTTTTATTGATTTTTTTAAGGAGACAGGGAGAGAGAGAAACCTCGATGTGAGAGTGAAACATCCATCAGCCATCTCTGGCATACCGGCCACCTGGGATTGAGCCCAAAACCCAGGCATGTGCCCTGACTGAGAATTGAACCAGCAACCTTTTGGGGCCCTGGACAGGGCCCAACCAGCTGGGCCCCACCAGCCAGGGCTAAACCACAGAAGCTGATATCACAGTTGCAGAGTCCTGAGCCCCAAGATGAAGGTTCTTTTTGGGGGGCTGTGAGGAGTCTTCTCCACGATTCTCTCCCGGCTCCTGGTGTTTTGCGGAAATCTTGTTCCTTGGTGGGTGAAGCCGTCACACCGATCTCTCACTTCATGTGGTCACTGTGTCCAAAGTTCACTTTTTAAAAAAATAACGTATTTTCCGGCGTATAAGACGACCCCCCGCCCCCCCCCCCCTAATTTTACAGTTAAAACATAGGTTTAGGCCTATA